AATCCGGTCCTCGACGACGCCGTCATGTATGAAGACACGCAAAGAGTCGCAAACAGACAAAACGAAACAACGATCCAAAAATTGTTAACTGTTTAAAAACACAACATACCATCACCCAATCCCGAAATTACCCTTTTAGATTAATAATATTATATTAAAAATAAAATAATAATTACACAAGCAATTCTTTTCATTTTTTCCATTTTCATATCTTAACTTTGTTTGTCTACATCAAATACTCGAAAACAAATTATTTTAAATCACACTTAAAATTTTTATTAAGTAAAATATTTAATACATTATTTTTTTTAATCGAGAAAAGTGTACCGTACCTTAAGCTAACAACTCAGCTTCTATAAAACAATAAAATATAATCCAAAGGATAAGCTCTAATGAATACTCTATCAACTTGCAGAGCTTGTCAAAATATCAGTCATAGATTAAATTGATTAAAATCTCGGTGGATTAGGAACGTTGAAGAAACCATAAATTTATTGCTCAACATGTAATCAATATTTAATTCTCTACTGTATTAATTTTTGCAATACCTTTATAATTTTTCAATTTTTTCACAGAATAATCTTTTTTTTATTTATTACACAAAAGTAGTTAGATCAAATCAATGAAATTTAGCAAATCAATTATTTTTTTTATAATAATTTTTATAATTGTTCATTAAATAAAAAATTTTTATTATTATTTTAATGACTTATTAAGGGTAAAAAATAGTATAATAATTTTTATTAAAAAAATTTTTTAATATACATATTTGATCAAATTATATAAATAAAATAAAACAGAGAAAGTAAAAAGTAAAACCAGAACATATTAAGAATTTATTGAATTAAAAAATTATCAAGTTCGGAATTCTCAAATCAGGACGGTCAAAGATAAAAAGCGCGCGATAATTATAAGACTTTGTTTTGGACCGTGTGATGACGTGAATGTTGAGAGACGTACGTAGACAAAAGTCGGTGGGACCACTTCCGCCTAGTTGCGGTTTGGAACCACGTCCACCAAAGAGCTGACTCTCAATTTTTTTACATTTTCATTTATTAAAAAAATATTTTCATGCTTTTGTTGTTTGGTTACTGCCTAATAAATGTAATTGGCCTTGGATTAGATTAGATTGAATGAGGCGGGAGTCACTTTCGTTATCAGGATCCAAAATCCTGTAGGGGATAAACTAAAAAACTAATCAAATATTCGTGCTTGGGTTAACATTGACCTGGTCTAGTTCACTCTCGGTCCAGCTGGAGCCTGGACGGTTCTCAAAACGCGGCGCTCGCCATTCCGAAATGACAGTGCTATCCTCATTTAAATTTTTGTACAATATTGTCCAAAAAGGGTTGCTTTGGAATCGGATTAGCTTTATACACAAGGTCAATGATAATTACGATCAGAACAAATATGACCAAATCTTTGATGTTTTGCCTTATGTTATTGACTGCTTCTGCGGTTTCTTGACCAAATTCCAGTTCTTTTCATGAATAAATTAAGAATTATAATATAATCAAATTTCAAATGTTATAGTAAATCAATTCAGAAAATTAAAAATTTTATATATCAAAAATTATTATGGAGGACTTAAAGGTTGTTGGATTTAACTATTTATAATAACGGAATTACATTATTAATAATTAGTACTATCTTTGTGCCTTTAATTTAATATTTTTTAACTTTTCATAAGAATAAAAAAAAAATGATTATCCACCTTAATCCTATAAAAATTAAGAATAAGTAACTGAATTATCCTTTAATTAATTTTTTATATCGAGAGAGAAATTTTTGCGGAAATATTTTTCTCTTATTTTTCATAAAAAAAAACTTAATAATTAAACATGTAGATTTAACGGAAGGGTTGACTCTTACTTTTTATCACTTCACATCTCTCTCTATCTCTGTTTTTTTTTTTTTTTTTTTTTAAACTTAATAATTAAACATGTAGATTTAACGGAAGGGTTGACTCTTACTTTTAAATCACTTAACATCTCTCTCTATCTCTGTTTTTTTTTTTTTTTTTTTTCAGTTTTGTTATTTTTTATCCTTTTTTTTTTTTTTTTTTTTTTTTTTTTCAGCTTTTTGTTATTTTTTATCCTTTTTTAAATTATTTTTTCTTTCTTCGAATAGACTCCATATATTGTTTGTTATCAAATTTTGATTATAGCTTTTTGTGTTTTATTCTTAAACTTGGTGGTATTCCTTTAAATAAATATGAGATAATTTTTTTCATGTTATGGCGCGCTTCGTATTTTTTGTTATTTTAATAGCTATTAGGTGTTTTAATAATTGTCAATTATATTATCAGGCTGCGGTTAACTGTTAGTTATTTTACTAGCGGTTAAGTGTTAATTATTAAATATTATCCATTAATGATTAATTGTTTATGATGCGATTTAGAATAAAAGTGTTCGTTAAATAACAGTTTGATTAGTTGTTTAATATAAAAACAATAAAAAAAGCATGAAAGTAGATAATAAGATAAAGATAAGTGATGGGTATAGGCATAATAAAAAATTTATAAAAGTGATGGGTATAAATATCATAAAACATTTATAGAGAGCTAAAAGTTAATAAATATAACAACTTTCATGAAACATATAAACTAATTGAGTAGCTAATAGAAAAGTAACATGGAGCTTGAATCGCACCATCTACAAATTTACAAAAGTCCATTTTGAGCCGTTCATAAAGGATAAAAAAAAAAAAAATATTTGTTATAGTTGCTGGGATAAAATGTGGGAAATAATTTACTTAGATTAAATTTATAGACTTACTTACAGACTAAATCAATGATAAATATATATTTTTAAAACTCTTCTAATCGTTCACTAAGAAAAAAAAAATGAGAAAATTTTTTAAAACCTTAATTATAATTTTTTTTTGTAGGTAAATGTATGGATAAAATCTAGATAAATTTTATTTAAAAAAAATATATAAATTCACGCGGAATTAATTTGAAATTAAAGTTTAATTGTGATTGTACGGTTCTTGAAATAAAAGTATAAAACATTGAAGCCTAGAGTGAGAACAATAATTTTTACATTTTAGGTCATCATCTCCGGTCGTTGGCCTAAAAAATCATCTGCAAAATTACCAAAATTTATTTTGAAAAATATTCCGGTGGCGGTGGTGGGGTTAATTATTTACGTATGGATGAGGTTAACAGGAGGCTACCCTATCTCATACCTATGTTATAGCAAATATAATTAAAATGTTGAAATGATGATTGAGAATCTATGCACAGCGAAAGTTAGATGAGATCAACCTTCTTACTTTCTCTCTATTTAAATTTATATTATAGAATGTCGATGGAATTTAACAACCAAGAACGTATACCCAACGTAACTGCAACCAAGCCGCGGTGGCTCTTTTGGCTTTTTCTGCTCTTGTTTTTAATTCTTGCCGGATAGGTAACTTCTATTTTTCTGGAATTAAAACCGCCTCTTTATATTTTCCTTTTCCAATTGTTCTTAATAGCAAAAACAGAAAAGAAAAATCTGCACCCTTAATTATTAAAAATATATTTAGTATATCAAGAAAAAAAAAAAAGCGGCCCGTGCAAATTTTCTGGTCAAATAGTTAAAGTGGACAATTATGGCAGATGGGAAATTATGGTCAATCGCAAATCACAATCAAGAAAAGCTCGTATTTTATTTTTACGTTGGCACTCCACAAGTAGATTGGAAAATAATGTCATTCTTGATACTAATTGGAGTTTTCCATGTGACTAGAATTTACACATTACGAATTTCTTTAAGAAAATATATGCAGAATTTGATCTTTCAATTAGAAACCAAAGTGTTAACAAAGAATGAAAATTAGCAAAAAATTGTGTATTTTTTTAACACAAATTAAATATTTACTAAAGTTATTTAATTCTTAGGGCAAAAATTAGGTTCTATCAAATTATAAATTAAATTCAATTATCTTATTTAAAATAATTTGAAAAATTATTTACACTTCACGAAAAACATTTATTTGCTTTGTCCTTTTCTCTTTAAATCTGCTTTTGACCATTTCTAGCATAAAAACAGAGAGGTGAAAAAAAAAAATAGTACACCATAAGTAAGTTAATGAAATTATAATCATGACCTTCTTGTTTGGTAAAGAGATCAGTAGTAATTAGTTAAAAAGAACAAAAAAAAAAATCAAAATTATGTATGGATATAGCGTTTTAATTACCAAACGTTTTAATTAAGCGTTTACGAGATTGATGTGTGATTTATGCACATCTCAATGAATTAGATAACGATATTATCATTTATCTTTTTGGAAAAAAAAAATGATAAATATCATTTCAAACAAATAAATCGTGATTATAAAGAGATTAATATCGATTTCACTAGTCAAATTTGGAGGGTTAGACATGCTCAATGATCCAATCCCATCCTACCTAATGTCCCCACCATAAAGCCAACGAGGGTAATAGACCTTCTTTTCCCTACGACACACCGTATCGCATTCCAAATATTGACTGGAAAGACGACAAATTCGTAGTTTTTTCGCATGGCAAAAGGCGTAAGCGGTAACGGCGTTCGCCTCCTCCTCTGTCATTCCGTCATCCTCTTCAACTTCATGCAACGAATTAGAAAGACAGTTATAATTCGCCGTCACCCCCCAGTCAACACGTGTCACAGCTGGTAATTACAGGTAACCGGATCAAGACGCTTTACTTCCATTCTTCTTATTTGTAATAGTAGCATACATTAAAACCTTCCCAGTCACCACAGTCAACTCGTGTTTCCACCGCCGCTTACCGGTTACCGGTTTTTAGAAAGGGAAAGTTTTTAGTTTCTGCAGGGGCCCAGCTCCACCTCCCACCACCAGGTCCACCACCACAACACCACCACCTCCACCCATGTTTGTCTCTCTAACACTTTAAAAATATATAAAAAAAAAAAAGAGAAACGAATAAAAAGATAATCAAAGAAGAATTAGTGGCATATGGTAAACATTTTATATATATAAATTAAGAGGTTATTGTTTGGAAAGATTATTTAATTTTATGGTTATATAAAATAAGAGAGAGAAAGAGAGAGAGAAAGGGGACCTCTAAAAGATTTAGCTCTCAAAGCCAATACCAAAGCTCCCTCTGATTTGCAGAGAGAATCCAAAGGACGACTAATAGAGAGAGAAGTATAGAACTAAGAACGCGAAGAACAGAAACAGAGAGAGGGATAGAGAGAGAAACAGAGATTTAGATTTTGAAAATTCCAATCAAGTCCTTTCTCTTCTTATCCAATCCGTAAGTCCCTGCTGCCCCTCCCTGCGTTATTATTCACTACTCTCTTCCTCGTCTTCTTCTCCTTCTTTTCTTTTTCTTGCTTTCTTTCTTTTTTTTTTTTTTTTTTTTCTTGCTTTTTTTTTTTTTTTTTTTTTTTTATCTTTTCTCTTCATTTCCTTCTATCCTATATTTGTGACTAACGAACCTCTAAACAGATCTAATTCAATAGAAACGTTAAGTTGTTAGATATTTGGACATCATTTGTTTTTCTTTTCTGGGGTTCATTCGTTTTTGAGATCTGGGTACTCCTGTATGGAAGTAGTTTAATCCTGAATTTGCTGTTTCAGCTGAAAATTTTGTTTCTTTTGACTTGGTTGTTAATTACAGTGAAATTTGACCGTTTCCAAATTGAAAATTTTGATCTTGAAGGTTTTATTACTTTCGCTTTTTATTGGGATCGTTAATTTGATTCATTGAATTCAGATCGGTTAACGTTTGTAATTTACAGCTAAAGAAAACATAGGTTCTATCTAGATATTCTCCATTGGGCGTTTCTGGGTTTCATTTCTTACCATTGAAACCAAATACCAGCATATAACTTTTCTAAAATTTTTCGCTTCAGTTTCAAAGAAACAACTTTTATTTTCTTTAATATCTCTCTTAATACCGTGAAAACTTCATAATTTCTTCGTTGGCGTTTCTGGGTTTCATTTCCCCCCCAATAATTTCCTTCGTTGGCGTTTTCTGGGTTTCATTTTCCCCCCCCCCCCCAAAACCAAAAAAAAAAAAGTCCATAATTTAATAAATAACACACGAAGATTTTAGAATTCCTATACTTTTTTTTTTTTTCTGGGAATGAAGAATATAACATCAAAATTCCCAAAACACAAAAACAAAAAAAGTCATAATTTATAATAACACACGAGAATTTTAGAATTCCTAACTTTTTTTTTTCTGGGGAAGAGAATATAACATCAAATTCTCTTAGTATACAACTCCCTACATAGGGTCTAATTCTATGTATTGACTGCTGCTTTTGGGGGCTTCAGGTGCTTGGATTTGCGGATTTATTTCGTTGTACTATAAATGCAAAAGAAGGATTTGGACAGTTGATTTGGGTTGATTGGTTTTATTGCTTCAACTGGCCAAATTACAGAGACATGTTGGAGGGTCGTCGGTCCTGTTTGGTACCAAGATTGTTTGGTAGCTCTTGCCAGCCAGAGTCCCAGTGGTCTTTCATGCCTTTCAGGCCAAGCCGCGGCAAGCACCCTCTAGACGGCTCCGACGAAGATTATCGACCAATTAAGTATACCAGGGTATCAGATTCTCGTGAAACTAGAGGTGAACAACATGATAATGATGATAGAGCAGGGGAATCTTCAGATTCTGATCCCCTTATTGATTCCATTGGCCGTGACATGTCTATCAACTGTCTCATTCGCTGCTCTAGGTCTGATTATAGCTCTATAGCTTCTCTGAATAGGAGTTTCAGGTCTTTAATTAGAAGCGGTGAGATATATAAATTGAGAAGGCAACGTGGTGTTATTGAACATTGGGTGTATTTCTCTTGTCACTTGCTTGAATGGGAGGCCTTTGATCCTATTTCCAGCAGGTGGATGCATTTACCTAGAATGCCTTCCAATGATTGTTTCATGTGTTCAGATAAGGAGTCTTTGGCTGTGGGTACTGAGCTTCTGGTATTTGGTAAGGAGGTGATGTCCCATGTTATATATAGGTATAGTATTTTGACTAATTCTTGGTCTTCTGGGATGACTATGAATGCTCCCAGATGCTTGTTTGGGTCTGCTAGTCGTGGGGAGATTGCAATTTTGGCTGGTGGTTGTGACTCTCAGGGAAACATCCTGAGCTCCGCAGAGATGTATAATTCTGAGAATCAAAAATGGGAGACACTGCCGAGCATGAATAAACCAAGGAAGATGTGTTCAGCAGTGTTTATGGATGGAAAATTTTATGTTATTGGGGGAATTGGGGGAAGTGAAACAAAGCTTCTTACATGTGGAGAGGAATATGATTTAGAAACAAAGAAATGGACTGAAATTCCTAATATGTCTCCTGGCCGGAGTGGCACTGCCACAGAGAATGAGATGCCTGCAGCTGCTGAGGCTCCTCCGTTGGTAGCTGTAGTTAACAATGAACTTTATGCTGCCGTGGACGTAGAGGTCAGAAAATATGACAAGGAAAGAAGATCATGGTATAAGGTGGGCGCATTGCCTGAGCGTGCTGTCTCAATGAATGGTTGGGGACTTGCATTTAGGGCATGTGGAGATCGGCTTATTGTTATCGGTGGACCTCGGACTCATGGTGAAGGTTTTATAGAGCTCAATTCATGGGTTCCAAGTGAAGGGCCTCCTCAATGGAACATGCTTGCGCAAAAGCACTCTGTTAACTTTGTGTATAATTGTGCTGTGATGGGATGTTGACGAGTTGGATTATGTGGGCACCATGTGAGCTATAATGGTGCCTCATGCTAATGGGATGTACAAGATTGGTTTGTTCTTCAACACAGGTCTCTTGCTAATGGTAATTTCCCCCTTTATTTGTTTTTTCACATCTTTTTCCTTTTAGTGGGGGGATGGGGAAGAAGTTCAGATTTTACTCAAGACTCAATAGAATGTCTTCTTGGAAGTCTTGAGATTTTCTTTTTCCTTTTTCTTTTTCTTTTTTGTTTAAATTGCAATTACATTTTCTTTCATTGGATTTGTGTCTTCCCCATTTGTAGTGACATGAGAAAATTGAAAAGTTGATGTCATGTAGCAGAAAAATAGGTTTAATAATGTGAAGTATCAACACATTTGGTAGGTTGTCTTAGTGTTTGCTGAAGCGATTTCTTGTCCTCTTTTCTAAGAACACAGAACTAGTTATATGGGTTTAATGATCCTTAATTTTCTTGGCATTACCTTCAAGGGAGGAAATAAACTCTGAGAGGTTGTATCTTGGATATGGCTTATGTACTGATTACATTAATCATTGCAAATGATGGGCTATATATTATTAGATTCTCTTTTGTAATTTCTTGTGTATTCTTATGGTATCTTTTTATGAATTTTTCTATCATTTGTTATATGTACTGATTTTCTATATTTAGCCATTCTCACTTAGACAGAATAAATCGCCAATCTCCATAAGTAGAATCCTGGCCATGAAAAAGCATAAACATAGATTTCATAGGACGATTGCCCTATCTTGAAAGGCAAATAACTATGATTTTTTTTGTAGTTAAATAGAAACTTTTTCCATTTTGATGCCATTATAAAAATTAAGATTTGTCTATGGTTTATTGGCAATTAATCATTGCCTTTTGTTGAGCATCGACTAATTAGTTATTTTATTTTCATGACACACAAAAACAAAACATCACATGAGTAGTTTCTGGATAAAGGTACTGTTGTTTGCTTAGGGTTGTATTCTTGTGACCTATGAAATGTCATGGTTTGGTTTGTTTTGGGTAGTAAATGAAGGTTGATTGTGTTTTACTGATGCATAATTTTGAATAACATATCCTCAATTATCTGAAGACTAGCTAAGATAATTACTATTCATAGTTTATGTGTGTGTGTGCATGTATAATTCAGTTCAAAGTACTTTTATGATCGGAGACTGCCTTTCAAGGATCTTCCTTTTACATTCTTCTAATGATTGGGATTTCTTTGCAAGTATAATTTGGCCTAAATAGCTTCTGTCGCAGAAAATTATGAACCATTTCCTTTCTACCTAGTGACAATCTATTAGCTTTACCTACTAGAGTTAGCTTCATTTGTATCTACAGATGGAATTATGGGGTTCACACCTACATCTGGGCCTTCCTGCATTAAGCCAGAAAAAGAAATCCGTTATCTTCTTGTTAAAAGTCTTCCACATCTCCTGGATTATGTTTTCATCTTTTACCATCTTTTTCCTATATATTTTCATCCTTACTAGGAGACGAAGTCAGGCATTTACTTGTAGCTGTTGCATTTATGTTATGAAGCGTTCCTTTAAATATCAGTATATCATTGTTTCTGTTACCTACTACTCTTCTGCAGATATATAAATTTATAGCTATGACAGTGTGAAATAGTCACTAGTAGTTTCATTTATTTTCCTCCTTGAAATCACTATTCATTAATAATACCAATCTAATCAGTTTGCACTACATTTTTTATGCATGAGTCGTTAGTTTTTGCATTAATTTCTTTTTGATGTATTAACAGTTCTTATAATGTGTCGATCTCTTGTGGATATTCTGAGCTTTGAACCAAATGATGTGTGGCTCTTCTGTCGCCTGTTGGCATTTTTGCTACCCTGAAATGCGATTCACATAATATCCAGTTCTATGTTATATTCAAGGCGTTGCCTTTCCAAATGTTGGCGTTCAACTTGTAAGCTAAATTTGTGATTTAGAATTGAACTAACGCGGGAAATCCTTTTTGTTCAACTTTTATGTTTTTAAATTCCCAGTAGAAATAAGTGTGGTCAGCCCGCTTATGAATTGCTTTTCTTTCGCATCTTTCACATATCACATATAACATTTAGCCCGCATTACTAACACTCTGTTTGGTTGGAGGTGAAGGAGGGGTTCATAAGGGAAAGGAGAGATAATTAAGATATATACCTCCGTTTGGGAAGGGGTGAGTTAAAGAAAGATGAGGGTAAGCTTTACCCTCCTTTATCCCTCAAATCTTAAATTTTGTGACAACCCTAAATTGGGGTGTAAGGGAGGAGAGGTAAGTAACTTAATATTTTTGTACTATATTTAATTATTTATCCTTCTCTTTGCCTTTCCTAATTCAACCCTTTCCAAACATCAACATAATTTTATTGGAACTCCTCTTACCATTCCCTTTCCGTTAATTATCCTTCTCTCACCCCATCCAAACGGAGTGTAAATGGAGACACCTTCCTTTCTATCTGCCAATGTAAGAGCAATAAGCAAAAATTGTATGAGAACTGTGGTTGTGTAGGTTTTTCCAACTCTTGTATCTGCAGTTTTATGGAGTCTTCCAGAAGTTTTGAATCAGATATGATAAAACACCCATGCTGTATATATTCTTCTTTTCACGTTGTTGTTCTTATTCTTTCTTATATTTACCTCCCCTTTTTTTCAAGGTTATCCATGAAAAGGAATGTAGATATATAAAAGAAACATGATGCTGATATTCTGCGTTTGACATTTTCCAAAAAAAGTAAATTCGATTATGCATTACATGTTGAACATGATTTTTATTGTTCTTGGTTAGAGCTCCTTATGCAAAACAATCTTTCTCTGTTTCTGGCAGTCCGTGTAAAGAAACAGAAGCAATTATATGAGTTTTGGTAAATCATATTGTCTCGTGTGGAAATAATGCTAGATGTTCTGTTAATATTCATGTCCTTTGATGCTATGTTTGAGATAGCTGTTTTATGATTTGATGCTGCTGCAGATTGCAGATTTTCTGAAGAATGTCCTTTTCTTGTTTTCGAAACTCTGAATATTGTTTCTGAAACTTCCATGACAATGAGATGATGTTAAGGTATTGATTTGTAAAATTAACTATTTTAGTAGCGCACCGATTATAATAAATGATAGAAGCAGTATTTTTATGCCTAACAGGATCTAAGTCTTTCATTCTGATTTGACATTTATATTGAAACTATTTTTGAAATGTTATAATTTTAGTTGTTGCTGGCAAATATCTCGCATAAATTTTGTGGGCTTGGATTTGTTCGTTGCTGGCAAATTTGAGCTAGCTGAAGGCCCATTTACGAAAAAATTAAATATACATTGAACTTTACAAATTATTATATTGAATTTCCTTGTATCTCAATTAGAGATATTGTATATCACAACTAAATTCACTTATTCTTTTGGGGTTTGGCAATTTCATTAAAAACTTGATATTATAAAATTAAAAAATAAAAAACCTAGAGGTAAAATTACAATTATAAAAAACAAATTCACTTGTGTATTTAGTGTTATTTAAGAAAGTGGAAAAGAAAAATGAATGCATAAGATAAAACAATAATAAATAAATTGGTGGTTCAAAATTGTGGCTAATGGCTATGCGTATATGTGTGGTCCTATTGAAGAAAGTTGCTCTTCTGCTTGCAGAATGTTGCAGCTGCAGAGCATGCTGCTGTTAATTCATCCCAACTACAACATATTTTTATTCTTTTTGGGGAGAAAAGAAAATGCAAAAAATTAAATAAACAAATAAAGAAGAAGAAGAGGAAAAAGGAAATGATTCCTCCATGAATAGCAAATGAGGAAATAAGGGCAAACATCTTGGAACAGTTGAGGTATTTTTTTCCAATTTTAACAAGTTTTTAATGAATTTATGGATAACAAAAAAAAGTTTTTAAAATAATTAATATTAAAATATAGAAAAAAAAAGTTTTATCAATAAACTAAGTTACAAAAAAAAGTTTATTGATATTAAAAGCAATATTAATTTTTTTTTTTTAAGACAATGAAATTATAAATAAAAATAATTAATATTAAAATATAGAAAAAAAATGAACTCAAAATATAGTTTTCCCTAATCTCATGCCTTTTTTTTTTTTTTTTTTTTTTTAAGTTTACAAACAAAAAAGTTTATTGATATTAAAAGCAATATTAATTTTTTTTTTTAATACAGACAATTGAAATTATAAATAAAAATAATAATAATTAATATAGAAAAAAAGAACTCAAAATATAGTTTTCCCTAATCTCAATGCCCTTTTTTTTTTTTTTTCTTTTTCTGAAAAATTTTTTTTTTTTTTTTCTTTTTTCTGAAAACCCAAATTTCACTAACATTTCTGGACCAGAAGGCTTCACCGTATCAGCATTAAGTAAAGCAATCACTCTTGAAGAAGGTTGAGCTAATAAGTACTAATCCCTATATGAAAGTATTTTATTAAAAGTTCCAATGGGCTGGGCCTGGAAGTGATTAGCTCTGCCCATTGGACTCATGACCTTTGGTTACAATCTTATCGTTGTTTGACAATGTTTTCACATAATTCAGAAATGCAATATTCATATATTAGTATTAGTATTATTTTTTGTTTAAGATAATATATTAATGGGAGAAATAATAAGATATTAAGCAACTGGGAACAAACTCTTGATGAAAGAAACTATCATAGTTATAAAAAAGATGAGCTGCTCTATTTGATTGTCTCTTGATCTAATGAATACTAACATTTATTCTATCTTTCAAAAGAAATTTACAAATCTTTACTATAATTTCTAAATCGGAAATATTTTGGTGAGAAGAACAAAAACATTATGAGAGTCAATAAAAATGGAATCCAATCCTAGCATATGTTAGGATTATTAGATTAATAATTTAAACCCAAGAAATAAATTTTATATCTAAGAATCACATTCTCAATTTAATAAAATGATTAATTGAATAAAATAACTGATGATTGGACATATTCTGGATTCCAAAATTTAGGAAAGAGACTCCTCCTCTTCCTGGCCTAAACAATTTCGGTTGGATTCAAAATTAGTATTTTCAATTTGATTTCGATCTGGATTTTTTTTGTATCAAGTTGGAATTGAACCGATATCCACCCAAGAAACAAGTTGATTTATGGTGGCGTGGTCTCCTCCACTATGTCTATGTACTGTATGATAGATATATTATGAAGAGCTTTATTAATTAAAAAGAAAAAAGAAAAGAGCCAGATGTCAAATTATATTTGAGACAATATCTGATAAGAATCCGAAGCTGCCCAATTGTGCTCATTTCCTTTTGCCTCGTTTGGGTTATTTATCAATACAACTATCATGTTGTATTTATATATATATAAAGCATTATAGCTAAACAGAAAGTGCATTGCCAGCTAATTAGAGCTTAATTCTTTAGTGGGATTCATTTTTGATGTCCATCTTCCACTAATTGTTAACAGAAAAAAAAATATATATATATATATATATATAATATATATATATATATATATAATATATATATATATATATATATATAGTAGAAATAATAGCTTTATTTTATAAATAGTTTTCTTTCAGCTCTCATCCCTTTCTATTAAAATAATAATAATTCCAA